GACGTGTGTGTCTGGAGACTGTGCTTAGCTAAGTGTTGTACTGTAAGAGCTGACTTGTTTTATTCATACAATACGGGATGGAATTAGTTCTTGTGATGTCTTCAAAATGTGTAGCATTCCATTAAAGGGGCCCTATTATTCTCATTTCCACTGTTCATAATTTAATTTTGGGGTTTACTACAATGGACTTGCATGCTTCAATGGTTCAAAAACGCATTTTTTCCTCGTACATCTCTGTTCACCCTGTCTATAACTGTCAAACACTATTAGATCTTTGAACCCCACCCCCGAATGGCCCAGTGTGCTCTGATTGGTCAGCTTGCCCTGCACCTTTCACCCCTGTCTTGCAAGTCCTTCCATGTAGGTGGCCAATAAGGGCTGTAATTCCAACAAGGCGTTTCAGGCAGGTTAGAGAAGTGTGGTTTCTGTGATGAGAGTTACTCCCTTTGCCGTGTACTTTGGGCCCCTTTAAATAGCACAGTGTTTATTAATCCAGTTCTTGGGGACCCCCAGCTGGGAGGGAAGAAAGATGTGGAGTGTCTGGGGGGGTGTGCTGAAAAACGCTGAAATAGCAGACAGATAACACAAAGCTCTGCTAGTCTCTCATAAACTCTAACCATATGAGTATCACTTCTGACTCCGGTGACTATGCGTTTTACTGGAACACATGTACGGCTCCCCCTGCAGGTGGTCGATGTCACATGGAGGTACTCCTGTAAGCACCCAGAGGTCCTGTCCCGGCGGACGCAGGTTAAAGAGAGATGGCTTCTGCAGACCGTCAACGAGCTGAATGCTGTGGTACGCTTCGGGGAATGCGTCCTTAGAGGCACATGACTAGGGTCTGTAAACACACCTACCTGTGGGGATGCCGCAGTTTGAAATTAGGTAATATAGTTCATTGTGAAAGAAACAGCCACGATTGCAGTTATTTCAGTTTCAAACCGGGAGGAGGCCCCAGGGCAGACCAAGGACACGCTGGAGAGATTATTTCTCCCAGGCCTGGGAGCGCCTTGCTGTGCCTCCAGTGGGGCTGCAGGAGGTGGCTGGGGAGAGGGAGGTCTGGGGAGGTCTGGGCATCCCTGCTTAGGCTGCTGCCCCCGCGACCCGACCCCAGATAAGTGGCAGAAAATGGATGGATGGATATTTGTAAAAATAAAATCCTTGCAACTGGACCTCCTCTTCTAAATTAAAATTGATATGATAAAATAATTTTCATCATCTGCATGGTTTTGTTCAGTAAAGTGAGTCCAATTTATGGTGAAGAGCCAACAGCATCGTCACATTTTGATCTCCTCAAGGACAGAATGTGGCCAGTAATACAGACAGTCCCTGGGTAAGAGACTTACGGACAGCTTGTGCTTACGAATGGCCTGCCATAAAGCCTATTATATAAAAAATTTGGGTTAAATACGGTTGCTTTTAATGACCATACATGCAGTCGGACGAATCAGCACAACTTGTATTTAGCAGGGAAAAAAACTGCTGTTACAGGGGTCAAATAGTAACATTCAGAACACAAAGGGGAGTAAATACCATACAGTATACTGCATAGAAAAGGATACATGTAACGTCAGAGAACTCAAATTGGCCTGTATTCACTGTGACTAAAGTAGTGACTAGTAACAATTAATTCACCGGTATGATTTATAACCAAGATTAGCGACGGAATGCTAAACCTGCACATCCCTACCTACTTGTTACCAATATTATTTTAAGTTGGCATTGCATTTAACAGGTGGTTCAGTAGGTGGTACTGCAGACACTCACATCCTGGGTTGTGAGTTTGAATCTCAGCCCTGGCTCTGTGTGTGTGGAGTGTGCATGTTCTCCCCGTGTGTGTGGAGTGTGCATGTTCTCCCCGTGTGTGTGGAGTGTGCATGTTCTCCCCGTGTGTGTGGAGTGTGCATGTTCTCCCCGTGTGTGTGTAGCTTTTCCCCAGACACCGGCGTCCCGTCCAGCATGTCCCTTGCCTCATGCTTACTGCAATAAGCCCCTAACGACCACTCACTCAGTAAGCGTTTCAGAAGCTGACTGCAGCCACTAACAGGGCTCCCCCATGTCTCACAGAAGCAGCAGCCCCTCAGCCCGGAGAGGAGGAAAGAACTGCTTGAAAGACTGCTGGTAGAGCTAGTGGAGTTCATCTCCCCCAAGACGCCCGAGCCAGGCGAACTGGGGGGGCGCACGTCGGGCTCTCTGGCCTGGAGGATGGCGCGGGGGGAGACCGGCGCCCCTGCCACAGTGAGTGTCCGTTCAGGCGGTCTAGCACACACCATGAAGACACATCTCCAGTATTTTTGAAATTCAACAAATTCATTTGATTAGGTCTAGGATTTTGTGATGTGGAGCCCAAGAGGGCGGGGTTACAGGTTGCCAATATGCTGCCTTTCGATCTATTCATATGTTGGCTTTCTGACACCAGAAGGCGGACGGGTACGTCTTTGTTCCCACGGAGACGGAGAGGACCATGAAGCGGTTCCATCTCCAGTACAGCATAACGAAGAACCAGTACTGCCGAGTCTCCAGCGGCCAGGAGGCCCTGCAGGGCTGGGAACGGGGCGCGTGGAAATGGGACTCTGTCTTCCGCAAGGTGGAGAATGACTGGCAGATGGTGAGCGGCTCAACCCGGCGGTTTGTGGGCCGTCTTTTGACGACCGTATCAGAGCCTCCCAAGCGAGTTCTGTCAGTCGCGTCTGCAGGAGTCGGCCTAATTGGCAGTGAGGCGGGCCTGGCTAAACATCGGCCTAACCTCAGACATCTTAGGTGCCTTTTCAGCTAACCTCAGACATCTTAGGTGCCTTCAGCTAACCTCAGACATCTTAGGTGCCTTCAGCTAACCTCAGACATTCCTGGTCCTCGGGGAGCCCCAGGTTGTCTGGGAGTCCCTGAGAAGCAGGCTGGGAAAAGCTGCTTTAAAGCAGCGTTTGAAGAGAATTGTGAAGTAAGAAAAAGCAGCCATTTGCCAGGTTGGAAATTCGAGAAGCAAAGTTCTCACCTTGAATGAGTGACTTACTTTGATGCCTGAAGGTGTTACCCCTCATACACTTGGCATTAACATTACTTATAACATCACATGACAGCTGTATTTTATCATTTTCATTTAGACTTGCTCATTTCAATTCTGCAGATTATGTTATTGCATTATTATTGCAATGTTATGTTACTTCACAACATTACAGAATTTTAAATTTAATTCAGGTATAAAAACTTGGGAGATGCTTCTGTTCCCAGTGTAGTCAGCCTCAGTCTTCGGCCATGCTGGTTTCCTAACGCTGCTCTCCTCTATCCAGGTCTATCTGGCCCACACCGAGGGCTCTTCCTCAGGGAACCTCAGCTGGCGGTTTGACTGTGGACCCACCGGACTGAAAATAAAGACGGTTTCGGTCAGAGCATGCAGTCAGACCTTTCACTCTGGTCGAGTCAGCTGGAGAATGCGATCAGGCCGGGACACCGTGGAGTTCTTAGGAGGTATGGCCGGAATTGGCAGGAAATCCTGCTTGAGTTGGGCTTCTGAAACCTGCACACGGAAGCAGGGCGCTTCAGCCTGTGGATGGTCCTGCGAAAATTAAACCCTGATATTTAAATTTTAAAGTCAGGCAGTCCTTCTCCTTTTTCCATGAACTTATTTCACTTTCTTCCTCCTTTAAGACGGGAAAATGCACACGGCGCCGAATTTCTCTGGATCAACGGACCTCGTGGTGGAAGCGGAGCTTGGCGGAAGTGAAGGGGAGTCATCATGGCAACACTCACAGCTGTTCCGGCACAGTCTGAAAGAGGCGGAGGATTCCTCACTCGAAATCGCCATAGAGATGACGGAGGCGTGACGACAAGGCCCCTGGTCTATATCGATGTGTAGAGTGCTGGTCCTTCACCTCACCGATCTCATGATATGGGTTTAGTTGCTTCGTAATTAAAGGGGATCAGAACTATCCTTTCCACTTGGAACATTATGCTTATCTTTTTCTGGGCCCCCAGTGTTTCACCTCTAGCCAGGAACATGGCACCCTGCCCTGACCGGAGACCCAGGACCCAGCCATGGGCTCGCTGTGGTTAAAACGCAGCCCCGTCTCATTTAACGGACCGTCGCATCAGTAGGCCTGTGTGGTGATGGTTCTTCCATGTTTGAGGGACTGGATTAATCTGCTGGGGCACGGCCACTGGTTATGAGGTGACTTAGGGGACAGAGTATAAGTAAATATCCACCTCTGTTTTATTAAGCCATTAGTGGAGTTCTGTGGTCTGTCAAGTCGGCTGTGAATGGACATTTCATCTGGTGTCTCTAGAGCAGTACAAGCTCTTTACTCTTATTGTTCTTCCTGAAACATTTATGTACCTGGTAACTATCACCATGCTACTGACATAAACGCTTTATTTTGGCTTTTGCTTAAAATACGGACCTGGTAATTCTAGTAGAAAATTGTAGCTAAAAATGTAACTTTTTTACAGAGTCAATATATACAGTCATCGTTGGTACTATAACCTTATTTGATTATTGTGCTATGGTAACTAACTAAAGGTATTTTTCCAATAAAATCATAGGGTGGAATGCATTGCATGGATAGATTTGTTTCGAACTTCAGTGTGTTCACAACTGTTAAGACCTGGCAGGTAATGCACATTTGCCAATACTAGAAAAGGAAATGGTGAAGAGGGGAGTTCACAGCTGGGCGGGCAGTAAACATTTTTATATAGTTACCCCAAGGTGACGTCACCCATAACTTATCCGAGGGAACCAAACCAATGCAACAGCAATTTCCCAAGTTTTGAAACCGATTGGAATAAGACTTGACAGATAACAGGTTATCATGCTTTCGAATGTCAATGTTGTGTGTAAATATTACAAATTGCAACTTTTCGTGTTCTTGTATGAGGACCATTATTACCAACCGTGCGCAAAACGAATTTAATCGCGCGGTGGAAAGACGCGCTGACGTTTGCTCGTGTAGGAGCAGATTGAGGGACTCAGAAAGGAGGCCCCCCGCCTTCTGATTGGTTGATCTGCCGGCGCTCAGCGATGGGTGCTCAGGATTGGTCCATTCCGGACGGAGGGCATCGTCGCCGTGCCGATAGTGGATAGCCGGACGGAGGCATAACGCCGCTGTTATTGTTCCTGAATGAAAACTGCGGCGTCCAAAATATTTGTGTTTTTTAAAAACGTTAATATAAATGTATGCTTTTTAAACTTCGCTTGACGCGGTGAAATACCTGGAATAAAAATTAAAACGCTTTGTGCAGCACTTATGTCCAAGCAATTAGCGTGTCTGCTAAGGAAATCCAGGCCTCAAGCCGCCACGACGGTCGATTTTAACAAAAACCGTGAGACGCTCACCTCGCCGCGGCTACCTGCAGCCGCCTGCTCGGACGTTTTAAGGCGAAACGCGGCAGCGTAACCCACGACAGGAGAAATACGTCCTAAATGGGGCCGGTTTTTTAAAACGTTTGGTTTTTATGAGCCGTCGGTAGGCAACAGAGTGGAATAATTTTATTAGAAGCATTTTTATCTTTGAAAACACAAAAGGAAGATGTCCAACGGCGCAGCGGGAAGCGGCGGCTTGACTTGGGTGGTAAGTTACGGTGTCCGTGCCGCATAGTGCTGTATGTGCCGGCGTTCTTGACTCTCGGGCACCGTTAAGAGCCCCTCTGCGAGTCGCCGGTGTGACTTTCAGCCGACCGGTAGCGGTCTGAGGCAGGCTAGTGTCCGGCATTGCGAGGTAAAGGCTGGTGTAAGATGGCCAGCCGCACGGTGCCTCCACCGGAGCCGCATCGCTCCGGTGCCACTCCTCCGGGAGCGCTGTTTACATGCGTGGTACTCGCAGAGTTTAGTGGCCGAAAATAACCCCCGGCGGTGGGTGGATTTGTTTTTAGGGTGAACGCCTAAACTGAAACCAATGAATGGACCGCTTCTCCAAAACAAAAGTTCTTTGTGTTGATCGCAGGCTTTCTGATGTTCACCGTACATTTCATATATGCACATGTGCACTGGACAATCGGTCCTGACCCGGAGATGCAGCACCATCCCGGACCGGCGCTTTGTGGCGGCGGCTGCGACGTAGACGCGATAAAGACAACAATGGGATGGAAGCCGGGCTGCGGGGACCGGTCCTCCTCCCCAAGCGCCGGTTATCGTACCCCACCACCCCCTCTACGTTCAATGTGGGGCTGGGGAGCGAGAGGGGCGGCTCCCACACAAGACAAAAAATGACAAAGATTAACAACTTAAAAATACCGTGCCCAGCCTATGTTCCCGGGGGGTCCTTGGGATCCGTGGTGCGCTGCCGTACCGCCGAACACATGGAGCAACGCGCAGGATAATAACTTTTGCGGCTCGAAGGCGTTGAGACAAAGGACAGCGGCCGAAATAACGGGAGATTTATATTAATGATGAGGTTTCGGCCGCTTGCGTCAGTGGTGGGAAATAAACATTATCTGGAGCAGAAGACGCCTTTTCTTAGCCAAACCTATATACGATAGGCGCAAAGCTGCCGAAATGAGTAAAAAAAAAATTCATTTAATCCTTTCTCAATTACTTGGCAGTGATATCATGGGGGCATATTTTCGCAGTACATATATAGATAAGTTCGATTACCAGGGGCTGTTCTATGAAGTAAGATTTTTCAGTTAGCTGGGTTAACTTAAGCTAGAAGCTTAAGAAATCCTGCTTTGTGGGGAACCCCGCGGTGTCGGAACTGAGGGTGATGAAGCACCCATACTTAACGTCTGTCCTACATAAATTAAATTTTACTTAATTTTCTCTGATCAGTTCCTCCGCAGTTGTCTTCTCCATTGACTGCTGTTTGACTAATAATTTATGTATCACTTCAGTTAAGACACTTACAAAGAAATACAAGTACAAGAGCCGGGAAATCTACACAGACTAAACTACATTTTAAAGAGTATAAAACAAGTGTTTTATTGCAACACGTATCCCTGAAATATTTCTTAATACTATTGGTTTACAGTAGCTGTCGGCCTTATTTGTTGCTTGTTCCTTCAGTTGCTTTACATGACTGTAAAATATATTCCTAAGTATTTATAGAAGTGTCTTGAATTGTCCCTTGTAAATGTTTTCCTTTGATTTCTTTCTTGTGCTCCAAAAAACATGAAAACACAAACGGAATTCAGCTTTATTATGAGAATTTCATCCCAGGCAACATAACTGTGAAACTATCACAAATTTTAATCCCTCTTGTGTTTGATCCCAGGACCAAGAGGTTTTTTGTGTTGTTCAAGTCCAGTTTTGCAACAAAGAATTGGGGGTCTCTGGGAAGTGAGATTCCATGGTGTGGTAGATTGCCATAATTCCTTAGCAGGGATGCACCAGTTGCATTTTCCTTGGATCCTGATTTCCTTAGTTTAATAATAGTGAGCAAACGTTTTTCTGACACTTCATTAATGAGCTTCGCTATGTATTGAATTAAATTGGTCATTCCAAATCTTTCTGGGGTTGTTCCTCCATGCCTAACTTTCCCTGTAAGTGTTTTACCTCACCTTACTGGGGGGGAAGGTGAAGGGCAGGGGACACGACTGTGGATGGAAACTGAGTTGGGACTGTGGCTGTGGCAGTCACGTTGCGATTACACTGCGATTATATGGTGCATGCTCAGTAATCACCAGGGCTTTAGATGACAGGTGAAACATTTGTCCAGACAACGGCTTTTCGTCACTTTACGGACATTTACTTACGCCCACGACTTGGTAAGTGGATTAGTAGTGTGCCTGAGATATTAATGAGATGCGTATTATGATGCCCAAAACTCAGGAGTCTGTATAAATTCAGCATATCCATTTGTTTATCTACGATATCTCCTCTTCCAAATGATGTTGTAGCTGATTGTCAGTCAGCAATGATCAGGGCGAAAATCTGCCATTTCCACTCACTCGCTGATCTATTGGTGAGTCGTTAGCAACTTGATATTAACCTAGTGTGAATCTTTGGTACCCAGTTTAGGACAGAGACATGAGTCTTTCATTGGGAGATGTGTAGTATGTTAGTGTGAGTTACACTTCTTGACGGTACTGTCGTCACTGACACTGTTTAAACATGGTTCATATTTATGCTGTCTCACTTTTCTTCAGGTTTAATTTTTAGTTGCGTTAGATGACAGAAGATCTGTGTTGTATATACCTTCTGCCAGCTCATTTATGCAAATCAGTCCTGTTATGTTTTGCCAAAATAGAAAATTTGCCGGATGTTCTGTATTTTGGGCCTGTGTGTATTTGAGGCTAATTCTGGGTATAATCTTTTCTTTTTTCCCCCCCGAGAGTGAGAGGCGCTGCTGGAATGGGATTCCCCTGATGGGTATCCCTGTCTCCCAGTAGGAGTGTGCAGGCATCGTAAAGTCTGTGCCACAGTCACAAAGAGAGGGGAGCGGAGGGGAATCCATGTGTTTAACGAGCTGCTCACATGTCTGAAAACAGACCCTGTTTGATAAGAACAATGCCGCCAAGCGGGAAGAGGCGAACGGTCGGGGTGACGGTGCCAAAAGTGAAGATCCCAAGAAGGAGCCTTCCAAGAAGGACGCTGCTAAGAAGATGTCCGTGGAGAGGGTCTACCAGAAGAAGACCCAGCTCGAGCACATCCTGCTCCGCCCAGACACATACATTGGGTCCGTGGAGCCTGTCACCCAGGTGTGTTGCGACGTTTTTCATTGGCATCAGTCCCTATCCAGATGTGGTTTTGGGGTTAAACGTAGCTGAAGGCTTCTGCAGTCACTTCCGAGCCATCTGGGGTCTGGGCTCAGACTCCTAATCATAATTCAGAACTCTCTCCACGGTGTCGCTGTATAGTCCTAGGATTCTAATATTTTCTGCTGATCTGACAGCTTCAGAAAACTGCATCATGGCTTGGTTAAGATTTAATAATTTATTGCTTTTTAGAAGTGGTGATGTGAAAATAAAATTGCACGGCTGTCATCCCATAATCGTAACTGCAATTTTCATTTAAAAAATATGTTCCCTGTTTCAGTTTTCATCTTCAAGTATATTGGAGAGGCAGTGTCAGGATTCAAGTGTGAGTAGTTTCTTGTTAAGCATTTTTGTGAGCAAATGCCCTTTCTTTTCTTTTTTAGCAAATGTGGGTTTTTGATGAAGATGGTGGCATGAATTTACGTGAAATCACATATGTCCCTGGATTATACAAAATCTTTGATGAAATACTCGGTAAGCCTCATTCGTTCATTCATTCTAGACATTAATAGCGCTGTATATGTTTGAGTTTCGCCATATTGTGTATCGGGGCAGGGTCGCTCCACATACGTAATCTTTTGAGTATTTCCCTCCTGTGTGGCCTGTGATGTTTGATGAACACTAGGGGGGGGTTGCACCCTGATTCATTCCAGGTCTTCACCTGGACGATTAGTTCAACACGGCCGACTGGAAGCCAAGTGTTTGAGCAATATTTTTAAATTCTCTAGCGATCGACGTTGCTCCCTAGACTAAACGTTACTGTGCAAACGTTGAAGGAGAAAGATGATATAGCAGGTTTCTGTTAGCCTTTCAATCATCCTGCCATCTTTCCTTCCACATACTGTCGTTGGGGTGTATACCTGTAATTATCACCTTGGAGACTTCCATGATAGAAAGTGACATTCGCGACTAGCGTGTCAGTGATGATTGGGAATGGCTTGGAGTGATTACAGAGTACAGAGATTGCGTTGTGGGAGCTGTGTCGTACAGCCAGCCGTCTCCGCGTGTTCTGCTGAGCGACCTGAACGCGGCTGCAGAACCCAGTTATCTGGCTCCCTTTGCCTTTCAGCTTTGTGATTAAGGACACTGAGTTTTTTTTTCCCCACAGGAAAAAACAATGAAATTCAGAACTGCAGGCAAAGTGTGAATGCACTCTGTACGAAAGAGCACCTCTGAAACGCTCCATTTTCCCCCAGAATCCGATGGTCTTTGTGATAAATGTTTTATAAACACTAAATAATGTAATATGCTCTGGCCATTATTTCCCCTGTGCGTAATACAACCTTGTTTCCAAAAAAGCATGTTGCTGGCATCTAATTCAAATTGAGCGTACATTTGTCATAAAACAATAAAATGTCTCAGTTTCAACATTTGATATGTTGTATTTTCAGTTAAATATTCGTTTATATGATTTGTAAATCATCGCATTCTGTTGTTATTTATGTTTTACACAGCGTAGCAGCTTTTTTGGAAACGGGGTTGTCGATTTAGTGCGATCACAGAAGCTGGGTAGCAGAAATCCCACGCTCGGATGTCTTTGGTGTTACTGGCAACGTTGCGAGCTGCTGTTCCGTCCTTGGCAGGTCTATTCTGTGATAGATAGCTGGATCCAACATACAATTTTAACTTAATCAGGGAAATTTAGCTGGTGTGTCCATCATATTCTTAATGGAAAAATATTAAAGTGCTTGTCTTTTTTTTTTCCAGAGATCACAAATTAATTTTGTTCCTAGATTAATTTTGGATGTAATTGTGATGTTCCTGGATCAGCCTCCAGGCTTGTCCCATAACCCAGACTGCAAAAAGCAGTTAGAAGATGGATGGATTGATAATTGTGATGTTTGTAATAAAAAGTGCAGAATGCTTGCCATGTTTTTAATAACGATATGTTTTTTTTTTCCCCCTCGTTAGTGAATGCGGCTGACAACAAACAGAGGGACAAGAACATGACTAGTATAAAGATCACCATTGACCCGTAAGTGTGAGCGTGGCACGTGCATCTTATCCCAGTGCAAGATCCATCTTCATGATCATTATCAGTTAGTGGGAGGTTTCACATCATGCATGAAATTATGTATTGTTTTACCTACCAGGACCAGTTACTGCGGCTTCAGTTGACATGACTCATTTTTACGTTGTTAATTACGTGATGGAACTGCATCTTCGGGGTTGATTTGTTTAAAAATTAGCATTTGCTAATTGGTGTGAAGAACACTCAAGAACAGGAAATAGTCTGAAGATGGTACCAGTGGGGCAGGTAACCAAAGAAGAACCTTTGCACACCAGCATATCCCCTGTAGCTGTAATGAGCTGGCCAGTATCTCATATTACATGCCAGTGTGCTCACAGCACAACTGTCACTTACAGTGCAGTGAGCTTTTAGCCAGTTCTTCATGATTGCAACCCCCCCAATACTGAACTGGATAAGCAGGTGGAAGATGGATGGATAATCGCATTGTAGGCTCCTTCATTTGATCTGAGAGGCAGTTTGTTTGTCTGCTCCTGTAAGGGAAAGGAAGTTGAGCATCGCTTAGCCAAGCACTGATTTTATCCAGTGACAGGATGCTTAATTCAGGACCTCCAGTGGATCCAGTGGGACTCTTCTAACTCCTTGTCTTTTCATTTCTCTCTTCCAGGGAGTCAAACACAATTTCCATATGGAACAACGGGAAGGGGATCCCTGTGGTGGAACATAAAGAGGAAAAGATGTACGTCCCGGCTCTCATCTTTGGCCACCTCTTGACTTCCAGCAACTATGATGACGAAGAGAAGAAGGTCACAGGTGGGCATGCCCCGGCTGTCTTCACGAACAGCCTTAGAGTTTGAGTCTCTTAGGTGGTTCAAAGAACTGATTTCCCCTATTGGTTCCCCTTGAATTTCAGCCAGTGATTGGCAGCTCTTGATCCCACCCCCCACTGCTGTTGGGGGCCTCATTTCTCTCTCTGGTCGCCCTCCTGCATGTTGTGCTTCTTTGAACTAACCGGACGCTCGTCCCCGTGCAGGTGGAAGGAATGGCTACGGCGCTAAACTCTGCAACATTTTCAGCACGAAGTTCACTGTGGAAACGGCCTGCAAAGAGTACAAGCACAGCTTTAAGCAGGTAGGAGGTCCTGGCTTGCAGTCCTGTCTCTGTCCAGAGGGGGCATGCTGGTCGACTCCTCAAAAACAAGCAAAACAGGTGTCCTTGCTCGATGTCATCATAAATGTAGTCATAAAACTATTTAAATGTTTTAGGCTGGTTGTCTCTTCATAGGCAGAAGGTAAGGGGCTATGACTGATGCTCTCACTGGTTGTTTCATCACTTGGTCTGGTAGAGTAGCATCCTCACTAATGTGGGTCACAGGCCCTATTTGTAGGGTTCACTAGAACTGGGCTGATCCACCTCTGTCTTTTGTTCTGTATTGCTCAGCTGATTCTTTGTGGCTTTAACAGCTGCCTATAGACGCCACGTGAGCTGTTTAGACATCGATTATGCAGCTGTGTTACTTTCTGTTGTTGAATTTGCTTTGTTACTCTCCAAGACCTGGACGAACAACATGACCAAAACAGCCGATCCCAGAATTAAATATTTTGACGGGGAGGACTTCACGTGCGTCACATTCCAGCCAGACCTGGCCAAGTTCAAGATGGAGAAGCTGGACAAGGACATAGTGGCTCTATTGACACGCAGGGCTTACGATGTCGCCGGCTCCTGCCGAGGGGTTAAAGTCCTACTCAATGGAAAGAAACTGCCGGTAAATCTCCAGCAGATACTTTTACTCAAAGTGACACAATTGAGAGAGCAGAGTCTCAGCAGTTGAGATTAAGGGTCTTGATCAAGGGCCCAAAGGTGAAATCACTCTGCCGGCTATGGGATTTGAACCAGCAACCATCTGATCCTGGGCACGCAGTCCTAACATGCAGAGCCACACACACAAGCGGTCTAACTAGACTGAATGAGAATCAAAGTTCTGTGGTTAAAATCAGTGCTTCTCTGCACGTTAATACAGTAGGTCGAGAAAACACTGGAAAAGGATCAGATTTCAGGTCACGTTGCTCGTTTGGGTTTTGACGCACTTTGTGTGAAACGCCATTCCCAGGTGAACGGCTTCCGCAGCTACGTGGACCTGTACGTGAAGGACAAGCTGGATGAGACGGGCGTGCAGCTGAAGGTGGTGAACGAGGTGGTGAACGACCGCTGGGAGGTGTGCCTGACCCTGAGTGAGAAGGGCTTCCAGCAGATCAGCTTCGTCAACAGCATCGCCACCACCAAGGTGCGCACGTCCGAGGCCGAGGGGGAACTTCTGCAGGGGAGAACCAACAGCAGGCGAACATGTGTGATACCGCCACCCGCTGGCCAGCCCCAGTCGCTTGTTTGTGTAATCCTGCCTGGAGACCTTTCTGTAGGACCTCGTTGACAGATTGGGGTAATTAGCTAAAGCTGGACTGGATTTATGATGGGCTCTTTGAGTCCGTTATGTTTGTTGCCCTTCGAGACGCCGGTGCTGTTCCAGGGTTTGGGTATCTCGTTAATGTGTGCGTTTCGCAGCCCCTAATTCCCAGCCCCTCGCTCTTTTCTCCTCATTAGCTCAGCTTTCTCTCACTGTTTTGTTTGTCTGCTTTTGATAGTACTGTAGCTGTTTCTGCTATTTTATTTATTTTTTTGCTTTGGTGTTTATTCATGTGAAAACAATAATGTAGGGGGAAAAAAACAAAGACGAGGTGTTAAGTTGACCGTGTGGCCGCCCAGCAAGATGCGACTGGGCGTCTTTGCGTCAGTTTGAGATGTTCATCGCTGCTGTATCTGGGCAGGGTGGCAGGCACATTGACTACGTTGTGGACCAAATAGTGGCCAAACTCATCGAAGTGGTCAAGAAGAAGAACAAGGCTGGGGTCTCGGTGAAACCCTTCCAGGTTTGTAGGATTCCCCTTCACAGGGAACATTTTCCAGGTCAAGGCCGACGTACAAATTGCAGTTTCATACCTTCTCTTCATGTTTCTGCCAGGTGAAGAACCACATCTGGGTGTTTGTGAATGCCTTGATTGAGAACCCGACGTTTGACTCCCAGACCAAGGAGAACATGACTCTGCAGACCAAAAGCTTTGGGTCGAAGTGTCCCCTCTCAGAAAAGTTCATACGTGCGGTATGTCCCTAAACCGACCCGGTCGCAGCGTCAGAAATGTCACGTTTATTCACTTTGGGGCCACGGTGTTCCTGACCTTGGGTGCTGCAGTAACGTCTTGTCTCATACCATCTAATATGAAGAAAGTAAGGTGACGTCAAAAAATGATTTCATGTCCTGCTGCTCCAGGCGACTAACTGCGGCATTGTGGAGAGCATATTGAACTGGGTGAAGTTCAAGGCCCAGACGCAGCTCAACAAGAAGTGTTCATCAGTGAAACACAGCAAGATCAAAGGGATCCCCAAGCTAGATGACGCCAACGATGCCGGTGAGCCTTGGGGTTACTAAGACTGCGGTGGGCTTTGACCCCAGCGGGTGCTGATGTCAACTGAAGTGTTGATCCAGTCCTTGTTCATTCACAGAGATGTTCCCTCATTAATTGTACGTACATTATGATAGGACAAGGTGAAGGAAGCGGTACGATATAACCAAGCGCGTTGTTTAAACAAACTTCTTTGAGGCACACATTGGAATAGGTTCTGTTTTAGCTTAGTTGCCATCTAGACTTCACATTATGCTTATGGGCCTAAAACCGGTAGCATGCCGGTGTGTTTAAATGGCTCGATTCACTTTCCAGTGGAGCTGCGGATCTGATTAAGCCGTCCTGTGCTGAGTCCCATCAGCGGTCTGGGCCGAAATGTTTGAGGTTTCATTCAGGTCATATCGGTTTCCGGCCAGCCTGGCGGATTTACCCCGGGAAGCCCTCTCCGTTCCCCTGCGCGCATTGCCCGTGCAGATAGCGCGGCGTCCCGGGAAATGAATCAGTCCGTTACGGCTAACAAGATTTATATGAAAATTAGCCGCCCCGCTAACTCTGATGGGCTGCGGTAATGGCCAGCTAGACCTCGGTGGGGGGGAGTCGCACTGTATCACCGTGGTTTATGGCCATGCTCGTCTCCTGCCTGTGTTTTAGGGACGTGATGCATCGCTGTGTTAAGATGCGGCAGAAAATGGAGAAGGGATGAAAAGAGCGTGGCCATTAGCTTCTGCTCTCTTGCTATCCTAATTTAGCAGACACTGTTTAAAATCCTTTTTATAATTACCTCTGCTCTGCATGGTGACTGGATCTAAGCTTAGGTTCAGAACTCTTTGGCTTTAAACCATTTTTGCATCTTAGTTTGATCCAAGGTTGCTGGTGCAACTGGCATATAATAAAATTCACTGCATTAGAGGCCAGGCGAAATAAATTCTCTCAGCTCTGTACCTCCACCACCCGTTGAGGCTGTAATTTCATTGCTGTGCTGAATTGAGAACATGCTGCACTGCTGTATCCAAAGGCAAGTCTCATTGCGAGATGATGAGTTTTTTAATAATTAGTGGAAAGTCTGAAACCTGCGTTTTTCCTCTATGTGCCTCATTTTGTCGCAGTCATTACATTGTTGTAACACGAGACCCTTTGAGGGACACTGGCTGCCCCAGATCTCCGATCTGTACTTGTATGTCACTTTGGACAAAAGAATCTGCTAAGTAAATAAACGTGATGTAAGGTAACATGCACTGATTGCACCCCAGGTGGGAAGCACTCTTCGGAATGCACGCTCATCCTGACGGAAGGAGACTCCGCCAAGTCGCTCGCTGTCTCGGGGCTTGGGGTCATAGGCCGAGATCGCTACGGCGTCTTTCCGCTCAGGGGGAAAATCCTGAACGTGCGTGAAGCGACCCACAAGCAGGTGAGCTCTGGAGGTGTGGAGGGGTGTGTGTGGTATAATGTGAGTGTGAAACAGGATTGGCTGAACGCCGTCATTCCGTGCGCAGATCATGGAGAACGCCGAAATCAACAACATCATCAAGATCGTGGGTCTTCAGTATAAGAAGAGCTATGACGACGCAGAGTCTTTGCGCTCCCTGCGCTACGGGAAGATCATGATTATGACAGATCAGGTATGGCTGTGTTCCTCCTGTGTTCCTCCTGTGTCTTATGTGTATGTGTGAGTACTCATCGGTCCCTCCTTAGCTTGCACCAAATGACTCGTCCTTCATTTTGTCTTTCAGGACCAGGACGGCTCCCATATCAAGGGTCTCCTGATTAATTTTTTCCACCACAACTGGCCGTCCCTATTGAAGCACTCCTTCCTGGAGGAGTTCATCACGCCCATAGTAAAGGTATGGCGTGTGGAAGGGCGACTCAGAATGTGTGTCACTCGTCACCATACCGAGGACCGCTCCACAGGCCTTTACTCGGGTCTCGACCCATACGTGTGGGAATACGGACCAACTTTCACAGTGGCAAGAAGCTAACTGCATACAGACGTGGTCGTCTGTGATTACATCCATCATTTATGTGGCATGTTGTTACATTTAATCTTTTCTTTGCTTCCAGGCACACAAGAATAAGCAAGAGCTGTCTTTTTATAGCATTCCAGAGTTTGACGAGTGGAAGAAGCAGACAGAGAACTACAAAACCTGGCACATAAAGTACTACAAAGGTGTGTACACGTGCGGGGTCTTTACTGGCCGGGCCAGGCTGGGCTTGGAGCCCAGCACATGCCATAGCTGACGGTCTTCCTCCTGCAGGTTTGGGTACGAGCACAAGCAAGGAGGCCAAGGAGTATTTTGCGGACATGGAGCGGCACCGGATCGTGTTCCGATACGGGGGTACCGAGGACGACGCGGCCATCACGTTGGTGCGTAGAGACGACGTCTCCTTTGCGTTATCCATTTAAAACGCCTCAAATACTAACGCACTGTGGTTTAGATACGGCTCCCATTTTTTTTCAGAGAAATATATTTGAAAATCAAGTTTTTGCGTGTAAGAGGTGCACCATTTTTGACACTTAAAATATACAAAGCAAATCTATATCTTTGGAGCAGTTTTGTAATGGTTTTCTTTTGTCGTTAGGTTATTATTTATGTGTAAAATAATTGCTAAATGCAGTGTCGTATCACCACTTAAGTTTGCCTTCTGTTAGCCCTGTCAGGGGTAAATGGGAGCCAGTGGTCTCTTATCCCACTGGGGTCAGGCCCATTTCATCCCTGAGGCCTGCCCTGGGCCCCGAGTAACATCCCTGAGGCCTGCCCTGGGCCCCGAGTAACATCCCTGAGGCCTGCCCTGGGCCCCGAGTAACATCCCTGAG